ATCACTTGGCTGCAAACAACTACATTTTCAGAAGATGATCAAGCCAGTGACCTTTTAAGATGCTTTAGCCCCTGTGCTGCAGAAAAGAGGCTTTACGTTGTTATTAGGAGCAGACAACCATAGAACTTGGGCAAATATACTGGTGTTCTTGATATGCACGCACCCGGCTCCACTCCAGAGGCACGCGTTACTGTTGTGAATAACTTCTTATCAACGATCAGAGTTCAGGAAGCGTTTGACCGAAATATCTTTACAGTCAAAGTTCATTCGCTTGGGATTTGGTTCCATCTCCAACACACACACACACACACACACACACACATATATTATTGTCTAGGTACAGCGAGATAACAGGAAGGAAGGGTGCGTCTCTCTTCATGCGCTGTTTGTTGATACATCTTTTATCTTTTGGGAAGCATCTCGTCCAGATCCATCTCCTCCCTCCATGGGAATTTAGGGGGCCTGCCCAGGAAGGCCTGCAGGAGATTTCTGCAGTCTCGTGTTTGTCACTTCAGTCAGTCACTTTGTGGCAGCAGATAATCACCATGGTGACCCCTTCGATGTAACTGATTCCTTTTTTAAAGATCTTTGTGTCATTTTGTGTGTGCGTTTGCTCTGCAGACAGATTGGGATCACATTCATGGTTTGTGTCGCCAGCTCCAAATCTATTTTGCTTCTTTTTTTTTTTTCACTGCCTCTCTTTGTACCAGTGTATCTGTCTGTGTGATGTATAACAACATTTCATCCCAGGCACTTCCCTGTCAGGGTTTGAATGGTAAATTCTCTGTGATCCCTCTTCCTTTTATCACGACACTCTTGTGCCGCGGGTGAGATAAAAGTAAAGAACGCTCATTTTTGACCGCCGTTGATCATTAAGTCAGAGTCTATGTGCCGCTAATGAGACATGCAGCATGAAAAATAATGTAATCCGTGCATGAAATTGGACTTTTGCTTTTGAAGGAAGTAAATCACCTGTGAAAATCTGTTAATTTATCAAAATGAACACTAGCAAATTGAGCAAATTCTGTCACTTTGCTTTGAAATATCGACGACTGGATTGATTGGCGTGAAATGGTGGATATCTCATTAAATCTCCAAACGAAAAGGAACTGACTGCATTGAGTGATGATGTATCGTCTGAAGAGCGCAGACACCTCTGTTTGCTGCTGTTTGTGACATCCTCTGCTCGCTCTCCATTCCATCGAGGTCATTTGTGTGCGTCGCTGTACGACTCGTTAATCGAGGCCGTCCTCGCGTCACGGCGCCCGTATTTGGATTCGCATGCCGCCTTCGTGTAGTTGCACGAGCATCAGCACCTTAGTGAACAAATCTCCGTTTCAATCAGGTCTCTCTTATCTTCAGACACATCACACAACTCAACCAACGCACGGGCGCAACGCTCGGCCGCAGAGGAAAATCAATCCAGCACCGATGCACGTTATCATGGAACATATCAAGCCGCGTGGTGGTGAGGGCGCCGCCTGCATGCTCATCTGGTGAATCTCTCTCCAGTTTCTGGCACATGTCGTTATCTTTTTAATTGTATCATTTCCAGGCTGAAGAGTAAGCAGAGCTATCTGACTTCTTCCCCCGACAGACACACCATTAGACACACAGCTGTGCCCTTCCAATTACTCCAAGTGAAAACTAGAAGTCTTCAAACGATTTGTGACTTCTTGTACATTCGGGGGTTCGTTGTTCTGTTTACGAGTTCTGTGATCTATTGGACTTGAGGTTTAACTTCATCTGGAGCCTCACAACCTGTTAGAAAACAGCCTAAAAGTAATAACCGTAGTAAGACAGCAATCACTTTTTAAATGTATTTCTCACTTTGATACTGCGTGCAGGAATCCCACCAGCTTAAATGACTTTATTGTAGTCGAATTTTTTCTGAATGAATCAGATGACGTTCTGCGACGCGCTTGAAAATGATCAGAGACCCTCTCTGGAAAGCCAAACGCGCTAACAACAATTGCCTTTAATCCATTGATTTGTCTTTCTCTCTTGTACCTACAGCATAGAGAGGCTATAATAAAGCTTATCTTCTTTGGTTAACTGAGAAAAAAGCACAGCCTGCCGAGTCAGCTTTACCTGAAAAGGTAAATGTAGAGATTCTGAATCCAAACTGATGTAGTGGAGGTAGAATCCTTGACAATGTGTCCACACTGTGTTCTTTTGTACTCGTCATTAGCACGTGCACACGCATGCGTGGCTTTAATTATAAATCATCCAGTGGATTAAAGGTTAGACACCCAGATTTAGCAAAAGATTTTTTTAAATCTGTACTGAACTGTTGTTATTACAACACGCAAAGTGCAACTCATCGATGTCGTAATTCCTTTGTTATAGTGAGTTAAGAAAACCGGTGCAGATAAAAACCAGTTGTGTCAGAATGTTCTGAGGTCTGTTTGCAGCCTCAATTAGTTTTATGAAATAGTTTTTTATGAAAGGGTTTTTCTCCTCAGCTGAAAAAAAAAGATTACTGTCTTTGTCACTGCAGTCAATACGAGCACATAAAAGTCTTTATTTCAGTGGTCTGTAGAAGTGATGACGATGATGAATCAGACACGGGCCGCACATTCAGAAAGAAAACAAAGACTCAAGGTCGTAATTTCATCATCTACAAGGAACCAAAATATACGTCTTAATATTTAAGTCGATGTAAGAGTTCGTTTTTTCTTTGTAAAATAAGTTAATGTGAAAAATAGGTCTAAATACTGGGAGTGCATTTGATTCAAAACAGGCTGCCTATGTTACAGCAAACATTACTTTTGGAACTTGCTTTTGTTGGATCTTGGATGTTTCCTTCGGCCTCCTCTGAGCATAAGTAAGTAAATACAAGTTATGCAGTCACTTGTTTTCAGGGAATCTGGTGCTTGATGCATGATAAACACTGTTATTCCAATGCACTTTTCAAGCCAATTCAAACCCAAATATAAAATCCTCAGGCAGCTCAACAAGAAAGTCCCTTGAAGATTTTGAATACACAAAAAAACTCTCTCAATGTAACTACAAGAAATCCCCTGATGAGGCGGCTTATGTGGGCTTATGCGAGTGATGTCGGCCCCCGTGGTCCCTCAGAGACGTGGTGTCTCTCCACAATGTCCGCGAACAACATCCACTGAGGGGAGCAGAGATGGTGTGCGACATTTTATTGGATGCAGTCAGACCTCGGGTCCAATTCTCTCTGCACTCGCTGTGATATTTCACTTTAATCTCCCCCTCCCTCAGGGAAGCGGGAGGCTACAGCGACTCGCTTTTGTCCGCCGTCCTTGGCTATAAAAACTCAGCTGAGACGTTTCCGCCGCTGAGCTCCTGTGCGCATTGGTTGTGCTGTTACGAAACATTGTTCCGGCAGAAGACAAACAACTAGTTGGACGTCGACAGCGTTTCATGTCAGAAGCCTAATTGAGGTCTAATAGCTGCAGGATTCAGGGAGTGGGATAATGGAGTTAGACTGGCGACGGCTGCACTTCCATCACTCCATCCATCCTACTTCCATCTACTTTACTGTTGAAAAAGCTCTCCCTCTGCCGCGTTTTGGGGATTGCGCAATGCGTTTCCATAACGACCGACAGCCATTACCGTCAAAACTCTCACTCGGGGGAAACTCTTGCAACACGCAGCCAGCGTGCATTAATATTGACCTGTATAATGGTCGATCTTTATTCATATACATCTTGTTGTCATCACCTCCTTGCCGCAATTCAACAGGCGAAGCAAAGTAAGGAACCCTTGCAGAACTCATGCAGAAGGTGCTGACAGCGGTGCATTATTTAGTTGGTGTTGTGGATGTAGAGAAAGCAAGAAGCTCTTTCTTCTTGCGGCGCGTGAGGAATGGAGTGCGTCGTGCAATGCTGTATGTGATAATGTGATTTATTCTAAATTACACTCGCCCCCTAAAGTCTCTCCGCACAGCCTCGTCCTACTGACCATCTGACAAAATCACCCGGACCCCGAACGCTAAATGAATCAATTCAGCAGGCTGTGTAATGGCTCGTGTTTTATTTGTGCTTCATGGCCGCAACCGCGACCGCGAGAGTTTGTTCTTATTTGCGACATGTATTTTGTGGGTTTAGGCTCTTAGTGCCAGGTGGTCTACGCTCAGTGCTTTCTCTAAAAGCATCGTGTGTGGATGCACAGCACTAAAAGCTGCTGCTCAGCTAATGTCCTGCGCAGCAGGGCCACAACCAACGGTTGTTCTTTTCTTGATTAATTGGTCAATCATTTTGGTTTTGCAAAATGTGCAAAAATTGCTTCTCCCCGTAGTCCAGAAAGCCAATATGACATCTTTTTAAAATGCTGTTTTGCTTGAATTGTGTCGTTTGTGTATGTGTGTGTTGCCCCTGGACAGTTTTTTAGTGGTTTTCTGTCCGAGACAAACCCGGATGGCAGCTTTGCCAAAAACGGGGCATAACATTGGCGGGGAGAGGAGCGCTGCGGGCCACCGCCACTTCCTGCTCACGCCAGCAGGTTTATCCGTCATAGCAGTCGGGCAGCTGTCCCGTGATCGCTGATCTTTTTTTTTTTTGAATTAGGGTCTGGGCAGAGAGTTTATCTGTTGGGACTGTGAGGCAGCATAATCACATCACCACACACAAACACACACTCTCACACACACACACACACACACACACACACACACACACATTTGCCCATATTTCCAAGGTCAGTTGGGTAACATCCGGGCCGGGCTGATCATTTGAGAGATTGCAGTTCCCGCAGGGATGCACCAGCTCGGATGACGCAGTGAGATTGGTGGATTCCAAATTGACAGGTGAAGTCATTGGGTGACAAAAGGTGACGTTAAGGTGCACCTGCAGTGTGTCTGAGCAATCGGGACAGATTCTGTCAGAAACATTGATTTCAACGGAATGGCCGCCTCACCATGCGACTTGCCTCACGCGAGAGCAAACCGAATCATTTTCAGATGAAGCATGCCTTCTGTTATTTCACAGTTCCACCATCACTTATGGGTTTCTCCCTGTCTTTTCCACCAGTACGCTACCTGCTGAAGAACAACGTGAGTCCGGACCTCTGCAATGAAGACGGCCTCACCGCTCTGCATCAGGTAAGGACGTCCGGCGGTCTCTCTCTACCCGTTTGTAGGGTCTGCGAGAGCGAGATAATTAATCCTAATGAGCTCCAACTATCTTCATGAATGATCGTGCATGGCGCCTCGGTAGCACGTCACGACTCTTTATCCCCCCATTTCCAGTCTCTGGCTTTGCACTGTCCAATGCAAAAAGATCCCCTTTAAAAATAAAGTAAATTATCGTTAAGAAACTGCAAGAATGAAAGCAAAACCTTTTTAGTGGCGCTGTCAGTGAGAGCGACGTCTTTTAAATGATATACTCTGATTCAGGCTTTACATTATATATATATATATATATATATATATATATATATATATATATATTATGAAATCACAGCCACTTCCTGAGGGTAAAAGAAGTAAAAGTAATACAGCCTGTGTGTATGAATTAACATTTTTTTCAGTTTTTTTTTTTTAAGCCAATTGAAATTCAATTATAATTTCCTCAGGCAGTTCACACGGCATTTAGATGTTTATATAAACAATGTCTAATACATTCTGATACGACAAACTTTGAGCTATTCTTCAGTTTATTTAGTTCAAATATTAAATATATTCTTTGTTTTGTAGAGCAGCACTGCGACTGCTCTTTTTAAAAATGTATTAATGAAAGTCAACTTTACCATCTCAGTTTAGTAGACGTATAATTAAATCTTTTCCTGGTGTGATTAGTTTGCAGTAGTGTGAATTAAAACCCTTGTACAGAAAAGTGGTGATTTATTTCGACACTGAAAGAAATGACTTTTAATAGTGAGGAAATGAGCTCGGCATTGGGTAAATGAGTCCGTTTTGATGCAGGGAATTCATATAAGAGATCAGGCTCCTTTTCTGTTGGTAATTAGGAACGATAATCAAAGCTAATCCAAATCAATGCTTCAAGTCACTCAAAACTGCTCATTCATCTGTGCAAATAATGAATCATTACATGTCTCATTTAATCACAAATCAGTCCCTTTATTTAAAAGTTTCCCTTTATTCATCTGACTTGAAGCCGTTTCCCGGCACCACATGAGACCGCCCACCATTCAAAAGCGTGTTTGTAAGCTCCAGAGAGAGTGAAACAAAATCGTGAAAACATCAAATCCTGGTTTCACAAAGGTTGTCTTTGGTTTCAGACTCATATTCACACACTCGAGTCTCTTTCCAATGAATTCTTCTTACTCGTTCCACTGAGAGATTAGCAAACAAAATGAAATCATGAGCTAGTTGACGCTTTTTTAAAAAAAAAATTATAATTTGATGCCACCGGTTAACAGATGTGACATCGTAACCATGGAGACATGGTTCTGACTTGTCATGATAAAAGGTTAGCTTACTTTGAAAGCTTACAATAAGTATTGATGTGGTTGCTACATACTTTTACTGTGGACAGAGTTGTGTTACCTTTGGTTGTCTTTAGCCTGAGAACCCTCCTTTAAGATCATTTCAATTCCATTTTCAAGAATAATCCTACGAATTTGAATAAATTGATCAAGTTGATTTGTTGTCTCTGGCTCCTCTTTCCCTCCTCTCTTCTCTTGGCATTTTCTCCCCTCTGACCTTTTTGTGTGTCGTCCCCCCCCCCCCGACCCCCGCCGGCTGCCCAGAGCCTAATACTGCGGCTCCTGCTGGGAGGCGGTGAAATGAACAAGGGGAAGAGAAAATTGAAGTCCATCAGTCACCACCGCTGTGGCTGGTGCTTTTAAACGCTGTGGGGCGTTCGCCGCCAAAAGGTCGGATTGACCTTTGGGCTCTGAACGTGTGTGTCTACCCGATAATTTATTCGAGCGGTCCAGCCTCCACGCCGTCTTCAAGATGAGCCTTTTTCACTCCCGCTGCAATTCGACAAATATCACCATCCACATGCAGGCGAGACACAATAGAGACAGAAACACTCATTGGGGGAATTCCTCCATGTGTACACACACACGACATATGGCAGAGGGTGAGATAAATAAAGGGAAGTGGTGGGGATGTTTCTATAAATGAGATGTCATAGCGATCAAGGACTGTTCTCTCCTCACTGATGGCAAACATCAATCCATAGATGGCTTTCAGGGGGACTGGATGTGGCAGATCACACACACTAGTGTATAGACACTTCAATATTTATTATGCCCTCCCTTGGGTTCAGTTCTGACAGAGAATGTGTCATTTTCTGCAGTTTGCTGGCTGAATCCCAATGGGACGATTTCAGTTGTTGGATTCTTGAAGTCATGTGGACCACTTAACGTTTTTCTTCCTCTGTTCTTCCTTGCGATATTTAACTGAATGCTATAGCACCATAACCTCCACTAAGAGTAAAGGGCTTTTTTGTATTTGATTTATTAGTTCAAATCATTTAAGACACTTTTCATATACAGCGGGTGCAGACTTCTGTATAATTAACAGAGAGCAAACATTCCCTCATGAGAAAGGAAAAACCTTTAAAGGGTAGAAACCCGAGGGAGGGCGTCCACACGCCTCGACTTTACAGAAGAGAGAGGGACAGAGAGGTGGGGGACATACAGAGACACACACACAGCAGCTACAATAATAGCACGACAGCTATTCTAGCAATAAAAGGATGACGGTGAAGCAGCAGGAAACGGTTGCTTTTTATGAGCAGAAACTCAAAGTAAAACACGGCTCTCTGAAAGTACGAGCAGCAACGTGCATCTCCAAAGCGCCGATATCAGGGCTCCAAAATGTGCATTTAAAATGTGCACTTTCTCCTGCAACAGAAGCGCGGACAGAGAGAGACGGCTGAGGCTTTTAGTTCCTGTGTGGTCCCAGACGTCTCATCAGTTAATTCATCTCCGCGTCACGTCACACTTTGAGCACCTTGAACTCAGCCCACCAGCCTTTCAGCACCATGTTCTTATTCCCGGATTCATTAATGACCCTCGATTTAGTCTTCCCTGGTGTTATAGTTGTGTTGTAAAATGACTTTCTCACAAGCCGTTGGGTGTCGCACGGGGGCCGAAGGTGAAGGACGGTGGCCGAAGATTTAAGCCGCCGCCCCCCTCCTTCCTCACGATTCGCACGAGCGAGTCGCGTCAACTGTGAAGGCTTCTCATCCTTTAACCACCCGTATTCTCCGCCACCCGGTCGGCCTCTTTCAGCCGCTCCGTCTCCTCCGTTTCAGCTCTGAATCGACGGCCCTCGCGGTGCCTGGTCCTTGACAACAATGCCCTTCTGCTCCTCAGACGCGGACCTCTCGTCCCACTGACGCTGGTCTTCCCGAGCCTTTTGTTAGAGCAGCGCTGCCGCCGTCGTGTGAACGCTCTTCAATAAAAGGCCGATCATCTCCTCGCTCGCCTCATCGTCTTGTTGGCGAGGAGGAGACGCGTGGAGGACTTTTGGATCTACACCTGGCGGCTGTGTTTGGAGGCCGGTTAGCTCGTGGGGGCCCCAACGCGGGCACGTTTTGTTTAGAGGGAATGGCTGAGCGATTTAGTTCAGTCAGCCAGCAGGCGGGTTTATGCAGAAGGAGGTTAAGAGATTAGCCTTGTGTGTAGGTTGGAGCCTCCTGACGACGTCCGTCACGCCGCTGCCGCAGGACGGAGACGGCGGCTCATCCGTCAGTGTGCGGAGGACGTCTGAGACGTGCTTTTATGTCGCTTCAGTCTCGCTCTTGTCAGTTTTAGGATGCTGCTCAATGCGATTTTGGTGCAAGAAAGAAGAATTAAATGCCTCCACACACACACACACACACACACACACACGGTAGAGTAGTACATTTGTGACCCACGCTGGCCCTTCTTTTCCTCTGAATGTGTGTTGCCTGGTGCTATTTTGATGGCAGTCACATCGGAAGTAGTTGACTCAAATAAACCAGTAGCACTTCTGCTTTTGGGAGCTCTAGAGGAAGATCTTAGTGGGGGAGTTCTCGCCTTCCTTAGCTGAGCATCACTAACAGTAACGACAAGTAGTAATTATAGCACTGAACTTTGTGCACACGGATCTTTTTGTGTCAAGTCTGTTGCTGATGTGAAAGACGTGCAGAAAGATTTTGAAAAAGATTCAGAAAAGTTATTGACCCATGTGTTTTCCAAACTTCCCAAACTTTTTTCACATTGATGCCAATTTACGTTAATTTGAGTTCTAATTTATTTAAGTTTTCATCAAGCTTTCTCAGTCAGATCTCATCCTTCACTAAAATGTTATTGCGTAGAAATATGACATCCGCATTCTTATTCCTCCAGCCTGATTTGCTGTTTGTTATGTATTCATATTTCAGAAGTGGACAGGTATTTAGAGGTATGTAACAATGCCATGAAATGCCCAGATGCGTTTTCTACTATTGAAACAGACCTTGAAATTATCCTTATGTCAGATTTTCTTTCTTTGTGAAATCTCCATCAACAGAATCTCTGTAGATAAATATGACACTTTTAATGTCGCCATTCAGTGGCCTCTACGATTCTGACTGTAATAAATCATTGAAATGAGCTTGTAAAAATGTGATAATGTTATCACATCTGTTTTTTGACCAAAAATCCCCCGCTGTCACAGGATGTTTGTCAACCAGTAGTTTCCAGTCACTCAGCCTTTCTGTTTCCTCCGAATCTACTTCACCTCTCATTTGCCTTCCTGCTATCTGCCTCCTGCATCTGTGAAGTAATTTCATTTCCTCTCCTGTGTTGTATATTAATTTATATACACACACACACACACACTCTGCGTAGCCTTGGCGGTCGATGCCACACAACTCCAGCGAATTCACACGGCTTATTTTCTCCTGACGTCAGTGTGGTCTTTTTTTTATTGGTGTTTTGAGCGCTCGGATTAAGATTTGCTTTTTTCAGACGAGAGACGGTGACAGAGATGGAGCACTTGTTGCTGAGGAGATAGATTGTTGTTCAGTGATTCACGCAGCACCAAAGGTGACGCTGTCGGCCATCAAATCATCCCACGGTCGCAGCTTCTGTGCTCCGTTCCTGCTGTTTGGGTTGCACCAAACACTCACCACTGCAAGGAAAAGCGTCCAATGTGTGCTAGAATTTCACTGCTCTGTGGAAGACATGCTGACTGCTTTCTGCTCATTCTCGTGCTCATTTTCAACCTGTTGTCTAGACGACGTCATTAGGATGCTGAAGGAAAGACTGCTGTTGATTTCGTTTCACCAAACGGACCTTTTGTATATCCTCCACTCAGCTTCCTCTTCTCTTTCCTCACTGGTCCTCTGCATCGACGTTTGTACCCTCCTTAGCGGTCTCACTGGCCCTCGCTCCATCGCTCGGATACTAGAAGCCTCTAGAGATGCCACTTGCTCATCCTCTATGTAAATCATCAAGAAAGAGGAAAGAGTCTGTTCTGCGCTCCTCAGCTTCTCAACGTTTCCATGGCGAGCGCGTGCAGTGAGGGGGGGGGGGCACACTGAAAGACGCAGTGCGAGAAGGAAAAAGAGTACGCGACATCATCACGACAACAAGCCGCAATAGGAATTCATTGCGATATTCTCTGACACCATATTTTATTATTTGTTCCCCATAAAACATCAGTGTGCGCGGATGGAGCCATTTGGTGGGTGGCTTAAGATTGATTCGTATTATTTTCTTTTGGTTACCAACCCGTTTATCCCCGTTTTCCTCACTGTGTCAGAATCTCTCAGTGGGCAGGATCACGACGGGATTAACAGCAGTCAGCAGATTCAGCGTTTGATCCCTGACAGATGAATCGTTTTCCATTTCAAAGCTTCGAGAGTCGAGAAGTGACAACGCTCCGGTGGCTTCACACAAAGGGGAATGAGCTCCTGTGGAAGAAGCAAACAAGCACGCAGCGGTTTTCTGGAACGAAAAAAAAATAGTATGAAGTATTTTTTAGGACATTTCTTCTTTGATATTCTGTGCACGCAGCATAGTGTGGTCCAACATAACTTCTGACGGATCGGACTCAAACGCACAGCAGCACGTCGGATATCCTTCGCTCTTGCTGAAATGACACTTTCAAACTGAAAACAAGACTTTTGCGCTGAATCCTTCAGGTTTTTGATCATAGTAATCCCAGTTTTTAACTACAGACTACTGTCTCTCTCTCTCTCTCTCACTTGTCTTCTCCTTCGTCTTTGTCTTTGTTCAGCGGCGAGACACTCGCTCCAATTAGCTCGGGTGGAGAAAGACTTCTGTTTGCAGAGTCGTTTACAGAGAGAAGTTCTCTTTCCGCCCCACCCTATAATCACGCGAGAGTCTAGCAGGGAAAATACTTTCTGTCTGAGTCTTTGTCTCTGTGGCGGGGTGGGAGCCATGTCTGCATTTGCAGCTTCTGTCACAGATCCAGGGAACAACCCACACAATGGCTGTGATGTCAGAATGACCGTGTCCACATTTGCTTAATGCGTTCTCAGTCTTGCACTCTGCAGTATGCGATAAGGGAGGTTTACGGGGATTGGGTTTGACTTGGTAATGGACTTCTCGTTCATTTGTGCTCTTTGTGCGACAATATGTCTCTTTCAATCCATTTCCGACGCAGCTCACTCACTGTATGAATCAAATGAGGCAGTAGAATGATATATAATAACATGCAGAGGAAATACATTTCAATTTCCTCCAAACACGAGGAAATGGTGGATGAGTTTTCATACTCCTTAATGATTCTGCATAAAACAGCAATGTTACATCATTTCTGTCCTGCATTCTTATCTCTTGTTACCCCCCCATCCTGCCCCCTCCCCCGCTCCAGTGTTGTATAGATAACTATGAGGAGATGGTGAAGATCCTGCTGGGCCGAGGAGCCAGCGTCAACGCTCAGGACAACGAGCTGTGGACGCCGCTGCACGCCGCCGCCACCTGTGGCCACGCAGGACTGGTCAAGATACTCATTGCACAGTAAGACGTGCAGACATGCTACGCCACAGCTTTCATGCAGCTTTTTAGAATTGGACGGGAAATAGACGTTTCTTAACATTAAATTATGCCGTTCAATGGGATGAAAATATAGTGTGATACACTAACAGTTTTAATTAATCTGCTCTGAGACATTAATTTCGACAGGAGACGTTGATAAAATGGGATATCGTCACATCTCCAGTCAATAAACAGTCATATTTAATTATCTCCCATCCATACGACATGCAATGATTAACAAAGTCCTTATTAGCAGTCTTTGTTATGTAAATGTGTTTCTTAATCCAATTATACTGATGCAGTTTTTTCAAGCGACAAACAAAGGTCCTCATGTGTTGTTCATTTCTTTCTTCTAACACATTTGCATCCCAACAAATGGAATATATTCTATATTATAGAGTTCCATACGCTGTGTTACTCTGGCCATTGATTATGTCCTCTGATGTAACAGCATGTAGACACTGAAGGAGACACACACGTTTGCAGCATGTGAACCCATTCATATGGTTTCTGCCTGTATGCAATAACTAGAAACGCAAGCACACACACACACAACCACACACACACACACACAATAAATCCATCCCCACTACTACCATCTGTTGATGTGCAGGACTTGCCGATCCACTCATTATATCCCTCGGCCTCATTATCCACAGTGAAATTACTGATTAAAACTCCCTGAATGACGCTGGCCAACTTGTTTGGGACTGAAAGAATTTAATTAGCATCATCAATTAGTTCTCCAAATGAGATTTAATGTGCCAAGACTTTAAGTTATGAATCGTCTTTTTGTTACAGCAGGTTTTGAGTGTAAAAATACAGACCTTAGAAGCGTCGCTGATTGTTATTATTATCTGAAAACCTTATCTAGCTTTAATCTAGTTCATCTAAAGCTCGTCAATATCATCTACCTGCTCGTCTCCAACAGCGGTGCCGATTTGCTGGCGGTCAACTCCGACGGGAACATGCCGTACGACCTGTGCGAAGACGACCCGACGCTGGACATCATTGAGACGGCTATGGCCAACAAAGGTAGAGTTTCGATACTCTGCGGTGGCACCACCGCACACAATCTGGGCTCCGTGGTCACAATCTTTGAGCTGCAGATCGCAGAGGATAAGGAAGTGCAAGTAAAGCATTGTTAACTGACGCGGCTAATACAACCGTTGAGGGAGGCGTCTCAGTACCTATTTCCTCACCTGTAACAGTGGCAGTATGTCAGCAGGAGATCGTCCAGGTACACGGCAGCGAGTTGGTGGCCTCAGTCCCGCAGAGACTCCAGATTCACTCTTTGGGGAGCTGCGAGACATTCGCAGTTCCATCACTCTCGCCGGGATGCAGATTGGGAAACTGTATATTCCTGCTGCATCTCTGCAAACCGGCGCGGTCTTCAGGCGGGCGCGTGGACACGCGGTTGGAGAACGAAGCACGTGGCTCAGAGCATTGCTGTGGTGTGAAGTGTGGTTCATTCAAACGGGGTCGGACTCTCACAACACTTCCAGTTCCCCAACCGCCTCTGTTGGAGACCATTTGTGACAGGGCAAACTGAAGCTTTCCAAATAAACCCAGTACTTCATTTCCCTCACTCATTCACTAATTCATTTCTATCGCCGGTCTCTCCCGTGTGTTTTCCGGAGGGTTTATTCGTTTTTTTTCCTTTCTCGGGCTGTCGGTTGCTGTCCGTTTAGCGTGTTTAAACTGCTAGCGAGTGAGTAGCTAGAGACGTAAAAGGTTACACTCCCTCCATCAAGGCGCCCCTTCGGCATGAAAGTAAATCCCAAATGCTTCGTGGTAAACAGGAGAAAAGTGCGTGCAGGCGGGGTGCTGCCGGAGGGCATCACGGTTGCTCGCTCATATTTCCGTAGACAATTAAAGGTCTAAAAAAAGCCTTGTTATGGTAATTGCTGCATCGTAAACAACTGTGGGGTTAATGGGGTTTTTTTTTAACCGTGCAAATAGACGATGGACCGTTGTGGAGGAACACGGAGGGAGGCTGCGGGTTTGCAGAGGGGAAAAAAACAAGAGTGCGGCGGAATATGAGGTTCTGATTTTGCGATGGGATCTCTCGCTGATAGCGGTGCAGGAGGTGACAAGAACAATTATAGAGCTGATCACAGGCAGCGTGCTGATGCTCACTGCTCATTATTAGCACTGTATCGCCGGGGCTAGAATGGTCTCTCCAGAGACGGGCACTCCGGTACTCTCACGCGCACACACCCACGCACGGACACACAACTATGCAGTCATTTTGTTGTCATTGAAGGACACAGTTACACTAGTTTTAGTCTATTTTTTTTTTCCATGGTCCAATGTTTTTGGCCCTGGGACACGGATTTTGTTTTACAAATGACTTGTTTTTCTTATTTACATGATGACATATTGACAGTTTTCTGACTATATTTGTCATTGTGCGACAATGAGAAATGTTTGTTGTATTACACACATTTTTTAAATTAATTTTGGGGGCATTGTTAAGCTGAAGGGCGTCACTGCAGCTGAATCAAAAGATGTTTGAAGCCAAAGAGACGGATGCTCGCTGACAGAAAACACAGGAAACAAAACAGTAGCTGGAGGGATGCGGAACGTCGAAGTCGACAAAGGGGACCGTCGTCCGGATTCCCGCGCCTTCAAAACGCCCTCGGGTTCTGATTCTCGTTATGAATTCAGAGTGAGAAAAACAATTTTCCTCACTGGTATGTCTGTTTTTGCCATGGCTGAAAACAAGAGTGGAAGTTGGCCTTGAAATGGGGGCCGGGGGGGGGGGGGGGGCAGGGAATTTGGCTTAATGGATAAATTCCCCCCCGGCCCCCCTCCCCCCTGTTCCATCCTTAACTCTACGACACAGGAAAAGTTGCGGGTCCAAAACACTGGCGACATCATGTCATGGGGATGACGACTTCTGCTTTATACAGAAAATCGAGGGATCCTCTTTAAGTGACTAATCCTTGTGCATATTCTTTAAGCTTCGATTTCCAGCAGCTGTCACAGCACTCGATTCATTGTCATTTTTAGTAATTCACATTTTCAGTCACACACTGAGAAGGTAAAAGGTCACAGTTCTGACTGACAGGCACTTTCCATTACACATTTCTTTAAAATTTGTTGGACAGTACGGTACATTAAAGCTCAGCCGTGGGGGAGGAAGTCAAGTGGGCGCCTTTCAGCGTGGAGTCGTACCTGGCAGTGAGGCAATAAATTAGAGGCGCCGTGACGGACGGAATCACCTGAGCTTCGACTGGGGCCAAACGCCATTCAACTCTTTGGCAGACGGTGTTGGGAAAGGCAGCATGAAAGACAAATATCCTTGACGGTCAAATTATTTCTATCCGCACTGATGGCAGCGGTGTGTTGATAGTTAAATGCATTGAAATAATCATCTGCCAATTTATAAACGTTATTTAAAATGTTTCTTTAATTTCTTTTAATGTCATTAAACATCCGTCCGCCTTGTGATTAACGCTGCGGTTTGCATGCACTTGATCGACAGGCATCACGCAGGAGATGATCAACGAAACGCGAGCCTCGACAGAGATGAGGATGATGGGAGACGTGCAGGACCTGCTGGGGCAGGGAGAGGAGGTGAACCTGCAGGACTCTCAGGGAGCCACGCTGGTGAGACGCTCGCTTTGACGTTTCACTACCGATCTCCATTTAAAACAAGATGACAAAAGTGCTTTTCTTTAGAGTTCAGGTTTATCGTCATTTGGGCTTTATAAGAAAATGTCTCTCTTTTAGGACCAGGTCATTGATTGACATAACATATGCAAAGTAGCAGTTAATATGATGATTACTAGCAGCATGTGTGTGTTTATTTAAGTTTGTCAGGTACAATACATGAGGTAGCTTCAAGCAACCAACAATACAAACCACAACAACTTGTCTCATTCACAGCTGCAGCCTGTGTTGACTTGAGATGGATTCCGTTCATGTACACAGCTTCATTAGACAAGCCAATATTTGCATATGAATAATATGTTGATGGGAAAAGGCATAAAGTTTCTTTTGAAATATAATTAGGGAGATGTCCAATGATCATCAACATGCAGCTGTAAATGAGACTAGAGAGCTATAAATAAAGCCAACTTCATCACAGACCAGAGTTCATGCTACTTTTTTCAAATAATCAGAAATGACGCCTCTGCACTGAGAGGAAAAGAGAAAAGGCAGGTAAATAGTCAAAGGATAGTCTTTTTTTAGATAGATGCACCTTCTAATGATCTGGGCTATCAAACTATTACAGCCTGCCTATCGTGCTTAGGGTGCACAGGCGTAACACAAAAATGTTGAAAAAAAGGGTAGAAGGAAAAGGGTAGCCTTGGCAAAGGTGGAACGGCGGAGATAAATAAGGCGTGTGTACATTAACAATAGTAAATAAAATGTATTAATAATTTATTTATCACAAAAGACAACTGAACGGAAGCAAAATGCATCAGGGTCTCAAAGGCCAAAACAATAAACAAAACCACCCAGCCAGAAAACAAAGGCGTTCTGGCCTACCGTGGGAAAAGGAACAAAGAATACGCCCACAAAACAGGAGAAAAAAAGATGAATGAATAAACAGAAATGGCAGAGAACCCTCACACTTCCCACCCAAAGTGGCAGTCTGAACGCAGACACTACACACTGACCGTCTGCTCGTTGTCAGGACGAAGAGAGAACTGGGTCAGGGAGCCTGTATGTAGCCCACTAATGGCCTGATGTCTCTCAGGTGGCTCTGCTCCAGGTGAATCACCTGAGAGAATTCCCCCCGCCCACTTCTCAGGAGGGGGCGGAGTCACGTCAGGGGCCGTAACAAAAACCTTTAAAGCTGATTAGAGCGTTTAGATTTATCATCTTATTGAGTGCAAAGCAGAAATCCGTGATACGAAAGGGATCTGTTTTGTTTGTGAGCCCCGAATACACCTGGAGTCACAATTTAAATGCCGGACTGGAGAATATAATAATCCTTTAATGAGGAATATGTAAGTATTACATCAGGGGTAGAAGATCCGATTTTGTAGCATATATCTTACTAAAACTCCTTGAATGTGGTACGACGAGACCACGAGGGAGAAATGAGCTATTGTTCGTGCTCACAGCTACAACGGCTCAGCTTTGAGTTCGACTCCCATCAAACGCAACGAGAGCAGCAGCAGCAGAATGCATGCTGGGTAAGCAGACGGGCAGGTAGGCCAGTCATCTCACAAAGGATAGGACAGCGCGTAGCCGTCCTTCCAAAGACACAGAGGCAATATCCTCTGTTCTCTTTGTCAGAGCGCTGGAGTCATTCATTGCCGTCGGGAACGTCAAGAGAACTGCGACAAAAACAGTGTCTGTGAAGTAAATTGCCTCCCCTTAGCTTTAAGGGAACACGAACACACCGAACTAAAGTTGAGTTTCACTGCTCGATTCATGCAACTGGATAGGACATACACTTACAAATGGGACAATCTTGGCTGTGAAAAGAAACACAACCCTGCATCACCTTGAATAAGTAAAACCAATGCGCTCTATTAATAAGCAAATATATCTGATAGCTGCTTTAGGTGAGAATCAGGGAGGCAGCGAAGGGCGTGAATCTGTCCATCGTGTTGGTTTGAAACGTGCGCTTTCATTCTTGTGTTTTTTCATTCTTGAGTGTTATTTCCGAAGCATTAGAAAGGACGCATGCTTGGGACTGACATGCAGACTCGTTCTTCTGCTTGAAAATTGTGAACCACAAACAGCAAACTTTGTATTTCAGTGCACTTATGCACATAAAGAATGGAGGGCAAAAAGGATCATTGGCGTGATTTTTTTTCCCTGAGAAGAGCGCAGGACGCCGGATGCCTTAATGAAGTCTTTATTTTGCATCAGGGATTTAAACAACGTGACGGATCAGTAGATGAAAATAGCCGTGGGGACTTTAAATGGTAGTACTCCAAAATAACCCTGTTAAGCTTCAAAGTCTAACTACGGCTTGTCCGATTAAACTTCTGGTCCCCTTGTTTTGTCCGTCCTCTTAATCTTCTTTGGGACATGATGCAGCAAACTAGAGCATGCCTTCTTAAAATATTAGGAAAAGAAGAGAGGAACAGACCTGGGTCTGGTAGGAAGTTATGTAAGTTTAATCTCTTCGTTTTCCTCTGCAATCCTTTTGTTTTGATGCGCAGGAGCAGTGATTCTCATCCCGTGTGGTCGCAAACGGGAGAGGATTTATTTCACTCATGAAGTCATCTCAGTGTGATTTAAGTTGCGAATAAATGAGAAATGTGAATGAATCAAACCCCCAAAAATGAACTACTGACCAGATCAGAATGAAGGGACATATAGGGAGCGTGCCCCTCAGGTTGTGAACCGCCTGATTCAAACAGCTGTCCTCGAAGGCCGAGTTAGTAGCTCCCGGTTTTAGTAAGGTGATTTAACGTAAATAATGTCTTGGTGCGTCTTAACGTTCCTCACACACTTCCTGTTATTGTAGCACCTCAGATAAACCTCCACTTGAACACGTCAGATACTCAAAGATCTGTGAACCGCTACCGGTGTGCGATGAAGCCCACATATACCTTTCTATTCTATTCTTTCCGAATATCCTTGAACATCTTGCTGTAGATACGTTCACTGAGGTTTGCTTTTAAAAGGCACTTTGGCACGCTCAGTTCTTGAGTGCTTTTTGATACGTAGGTGTCTCAAATGTGTATATTTTGTCAGGACGATTCTCCTCTACTATAGAAAATGATTCAGGTTTTGGACTGTTGGTCAAGCTGTCACATGTTGGAATATGTCAGCCGTATCTTCTCCCACTAGAATGTAAATCAAAGAAGTGTTTACACAATGTTTGGCTGAATAACAGAACTTAGTACTGACGGTGACGGGAGTCAATATCCTGGTAGAATAGGCAACTAAAAATGTTCGCAGTGATGTTCTGCCCGTTTCCCGGGGGGTCATCTGAGGTCACCCGGAGCAGCGTTTTTATTTCTTCTCTCCGTTACTACAGTTGTGTTTACTAACGACACAAATGCCTTTTTCGCAGCCGGACCGAGCACTTCATCGGCTTAAAATAATGGCAGAGTTAAAAAAAAATTCTAGTAAACTGTAAAGAAGTCTTTATTTTCATTGTGGCTCTTTGCAGCTACACATTGCGGCGGCGAGTGGCTACGTGCAGGCTGCAGAGCAGCTGCTGGAGGGAGGAGCTCGCATGGACCTGAGAGACTGTGATGGATGGCAGCCGCTCCACGCTGCAGCGTGCTGGGGTCAGGTAAGGTCAACTTAACAGGAAACCGATAAGCTGGCATGCACAAAGGCTCCTGCACCCATCGACACCATTTGCTGCCGTTGTTGTCGTTTCAGATGCATGTGGCGGAGCTGCTGGTGTCACATGGAGCCAGTCTCAATGCCAAGACCTTCCTAGATGAGACCCCCATCGGTATATTTACACCTCGACACTCTTATCAATACACCTGGTGGGGGGTTAACAAAATAAAAGTTTCATCTCAGCGGGGTCTCATTTACAGATTTATTCGTGGTTTTGTTCTGTTTAATTACTGATTTAGATCTTGTTACGGTAAATTCATTCATTTCACAATCTGTTTTTTTTTTTCCTTTTTTTTTTTTCAAGAGAGTATCAAAACATAAGACGCACAGTTTCTTTTGAAAGGAGCTGACATTGCTGTTCTTCCACCGTTCTCATTCCAAGATCTGTGTGAGGACGAGGAATTCCGAGCCATCCTGTTGGACCTGAAACACAAACACGACATTATCATGAAATCTCAGCTCAAACACAAGACCTCGCTGTGCCGGCGGACGTCCAGCGCAGGCAGCCGCGGGTGAGTGCTGACACCTGCTGGTGTTACCGCTGCTACTACCAAGAGTGCTTAGCCAGGCTTATTTACTACCCAAAGAGAAAATATGACCGGTGCACGGCACTGACTGCTCCGACTTAATCCAATTTAAAATCCTCATCCACGAAGTGAGCTGTAAGTACAGACGAACTGCGTGCGGTTTCCGCTCATTAAGACACGGGAGTGTTGCACGCATTTTAACTGGGTTTATTAAAGGCTGCCCTCATGTTTGTTGGCATGTTTCTCTCACGTGTCCACAGAAAAGTGGTGCGGCGAGCCAGCATGTCGGACAGACACAACTTGTGCCGCAAAGAGTACGAGACCGAGGCCTTCGTGTGGAGGGGAGGGAGAGAAGAGGAGCACGAGAAGGAGAAGGAGTCCGATCAGGACAATAACCAGGTGTTTAATGGGAGTCTTGAGGTTGTTTAGCACTTATTCCTGGTTTTAGATAATCCTATGCAATGGTTTTGTAGATGCGTTTGAGTATTCCTCCTCTCAGGGTTATTTATAATAATAAATAGAAAATATACTGTAGAAAATAGGTAATGCACATTTCATAGTAATGTGAAAAAATGGAATAGGATTTCGGTCTTTTGTAAATCTAAAAAAATTAAAATCCTCCTGTAATTCAAATGAACGTAACAAAAATAGTATATTGTGAGGAAAAAGCGCTTTTCAAGCTTTCATCACAGACGAACCGCTGTTACACACTGATTGCCGCACATTGAGCAACGGGAGACTCTTCACAGTAGAAAATCAATTAGCTTTGTAGGTCTGTCACAAGATCAAAGATGTCTAATCTCCCCGTCCAGAGTTAGGCCTGCGTGTGATAATCTGACAGAGAGATTAAAGCGCTCTGCGTTGACGCTCTGCAGGTCAAACCAGCCGCGGCTGTGGAGCAGCAGCAGCAGCAGCCAGACCAGCACAAGCCTTCCACCATCCTCAAAGAAGGCGGCGGCAAACCGAACGGCCTCATCTCCACGACGACGTCCACGCCGCAGCCCCCGGCCCCGCCCTCCAACGGCGGCACGCAGCCGCCTGATAAGCGCGCGGCCGCCCCCAGCCCGCCCCCCCAGGAGGAAGCCGTGCCGAGAGAGCGCCCCCAGACTCTGTCCGAGCTCAAGAAACAGAGGTCCGCCGCCAAATTGCTGAATCACCCCTTGTTCAACAACGGTCACCTGGGCAACGGCTCGGCCGATTCCTTCACCGATGGCAAAAACGACTCCGAGGACCCCCGCATGCCGCTGGTCTCCTCCAACGGCAACGCGGTCTACTACACGCCGGCCAGCGGCGACCCGCCGCTCCTCAGACTGAAGCAGCCGGCGGATGAGGAGCCGCCGAAGGTGCGAACCTGCTGCTGCGTGTCATAGCAGCCTGGTCACGTGACTGTTGCCGGAGCAGAAGTGCTTTGCACAGAGGAGCGAGGGAGGGGCTGTAGGAAGGAAGGAAGGAAGGAGTGTTCCCTGTTTCTACGCATCTCCCCACCCCTCCCCCTCCCTTTAAACTTTCTCTCCCAGAGAAGATGGGCCCCCTGAGGAATGTACCTCGCTGCCAAGTCCCTCCCGCCACAGTGGGAGACATCTTGGGCGGGGCGAGTGTCCAGCGTAGCAGCGAGGAGGACAAGAACTGAGCAGTGCCACTTTGTTCCTCCGGGTGTCACTCGGATTCAAATTCAGTCTCCAAAAAGACAAGCGGAGAGAGAAGGACTGCGAGAAGCTGTCCCCTGTGCACCTTTAAGAATCCAAGTGTGGGCGGATCTTCTCTCGCCTGGAGCGGCAAAAAGGAGGAAAGTGGAGAAGAACTCGAGGTACAAGGGTCATGTTCGTCCTCAGAGGTGAAGAAGAAAAATACATCAAGAAAAAGGTGGTTGTCGTGTATTTCAACGCGATCTTCTTCGGGACAAACGAGCATTGTCGTCCGACCTCATTCTCGTTTCTCGGTCAAATGGGCAAGAAATGCCACAGCCGAATCTGCTAGATGAACCCCATCGCGTTGAACCATCTGGAACGATGAAACGTAGCAAAACGAGATCTGTGACGTCTCGAGAGCAGAGCGCCGAGTCCTGCACGTGTGTTTGAAACTATCGCTCCGTCGCCGTCGTCCTCTCGTAATCAACCCTGAACCGACCGGTCGCGCTCGGGTTTTTATGCATTACTCGGTCTGCGCTCCCTCGTTTAGATAATTTAAGCAAACATGGTTAAACATGACTGTACATTTCTTTATTTATGAAATGAATGTGTGAAGAGAAGATTACGGTTCCTAAAGTTGAGTGTATTTATTTTTTTGGATGTTGTGAGGAGAGCTTGAAATGAATGGACTAATGGAGGGTAGGAAGGGTTCCTGTGTGCTATGTTACTAAAATCACGCAAACAAGCCATCCTGTTGGGACGGATTTAATAACTGCGTCGCTACGATTAAGTGTTATTTGTTTCATGTTTTTTTTTTTTTTTCTGGTGGCCATTGTGTGGCTGTATTTCACCCATTCACTGTATTTGTTTTATTACAGAAAGTGTAAGTATTATGTAATGAATTACTGTTGCAGTATGGAATTGTATACTTGCCTCCGTTAATTAAAACATTAATCCACACATGGCTTTGATATGTAGAAGCCCACAACATTATCAGGTGTTTCATCATTGAATAATGCTGAAAATGAAGAATTGAATTATTTTGAAATCTGCTTTCTTGCAGATGTTTGGATGACAACACCAGAAGCGTCATATTTAAATATAAGATAGTGATCAATCTCGCCGCTTAACTCCATATTTCCCAAAATATTGAACCGCTCCTTCAATCTAATAGCGTCTCCTATAATCTCCTACTGAGTGCCAAAGAGTCTCCCATGATTTAAATGTGAAACTTTGGGGGTAAGATTTTATTTTGTTGCTGACGTCATGTGACGACCCACAATGTGTTAGTAAATATATGTCTGAGTTGGTATCCCTGCATGTGTTCCCATGTACTGCATTTACATGTATGTGTTGTTACGTGTATAGGAACATATATGATACATTTACCCACATTGTGGAACATTGTTACATACCCCCCCCCTTATATATATATATATATATATATCTGCAAAAGACATCGTCATCACAGCCGTGACTTGAGTGTGCGGTCGGGTTTTCTTTCTGTGCAAGTATTTTTCAACTCCATTTGAGGAAGTACGATTGAAGTCGCAGTCCAAGAGGTTGCCAGGTTCCTTATTGTTCGCTTCCTTCCCTATTTGTTGTTTTGAAAGCAGTCAAAGGCGGTGACATCATCACTATTCGGCCGAAGCTTACTTGAGTCGCTCAAGTTAACATTTATCCTCGCTGCTGCAGTCAATTCAATCTAAATGTCACTTTTGCTTCCTTAATAAGGAAATCTAAGTCGCGTTTAATTGTGTTTTTTTTTTTTTTAACTACGACCTGGTCAGTGATTATCAGTATTAGCTCAAACGTCTCCTGTTAAATAGTACCTGGTGTTCTCATAGATCAAAGCTTGTGTTTGTCCTCTATAACAGCAAGATTATAAAAACAAAAACTACTGATTTTGTAACTCCTGGAAAGTGTGGAAGGTTGCATTAACATATTTTGAATAAATTGTATATTTTGAGAATTTTAAATGGTCTCTCCTCAGTTTGTGAAGCTTTTTTTTCCTATGTCCGACTTTCTTCTTGGATGAAACGAGACATTTAAACAACCATCTTTGTGATTAATCAAGAAAGAAATCAATAGACATCCGTCTGAGACGTGTGGGCGTCACTCGCATTTTGAGGAAACAAACTAAAACATCTGTTGCTCTTTTTTTCCTTTCCTTTCCAAAAAAAAACTGTATTCAGACAATTAGTTGCTAAAGCGACTGAACACAGATGAGGTTTGCGTGCCGCGTGAAGGTTGGGATCCGTCTCGCCCCCCCGACGCTTTCTCTGCCCTCTTTTCTGCTCTGGAAGTGAAGGACGAGGCTGGACCGTCCTCCGGCACGCAGCTGCCGGGGTCTTGGCCTGGCATCAACTGCTCTCTTCAATGATCTTCTGTGCCGTCTTCTTTTCCCCCCTCTCTTTGTGAGCTTCCTTTCATTCACCGTCTGCGGGGTCACAAGGTTCTTAACAGCATCTCCAATACATTTGGCTTTTAAAGCACCTACTGGCTAGTAGATCACATCGGGGATTTGAAAACAAACATCAACTCATTCGTAAAACGTTGACATCAGGTTTCTGTTCTCCACGTTAGTTGATCTGAAGCCCCCCCTCCTCAGTTTGTCTCAGGTATAGAGGACACCAGGTATAGAGGAGGACAATGGTTGCCGAAAACATGATCCAGGCTGCGTTGACCTCGTCTGCGCGGGCCTGGCTTTTGTCTAAACTTGGTTGTGGGCCAGCTGGCTGCGGTCCCAGTCCTCCAGTCCTCCGGTCCTCCAGTCCTCTCCACTGGAGGGCGAGGTGGATCCGTGCCAGGACGAGCACACAGGCGCATAGCGACCGCTCGGCTCCTCACATAGATGGGAGGGACGATGATGGACTGCGACCGAGGAGCCGTCCGGCAGAGCGACCTGGACGAAGCGCGGGAAAGATGAAACGGGGGGGTGCCAGCGGTCGCCGAAGACGCCGAACCGCAGTGACGGAGCGACGGGCGGAAACAAGGGATGTTTTCACTGGTGAAATGAGAGACGTGGGCATGCAAATGAAGGGTGGACGGCGGGCCTGAAAGCGGGCCGGCGCCGGGAGGAGGCCACTTCTATTGAGCGCACTGCCAGAGTGTGAGGAGACGGCACAATAGGGAACAGATGGATGGCTCAGTGGGTCAGAACGTCCGCAGAGTTCCCAGGCTGCTTTGGGCTTTACTGGGCGTCTTGTGTCAATTGGCTGTACAAAATAATTCCCCCCCCCCAGTTGGAATCATGAAACCAACCAATGGAATTCTGACTGAAGGAGAAAGTACCACAAACCGCGAGGCTGGTCTCATGAGACCAGAGTAACCGGTTTGCTGGCCCACTTCCGTCATCAGCGCTGGATGTCCACCTGTCAAGTGATCCGAATAGATAAACAACAGCATGTCATGAAGACGTCTGTACGCCGTATCTGAATCTACAACATATATAGACGTTTTTAATTTGGACACGATTATTAGATATTTCTGGAGAATATTACAGTCACCGTTTCCATCTCTTTCCCTCTAACGTTATGGTTTTTTTCACAGAGAGGGTGCGTGGATGAACTTCTTCCTGTTCATTCTGGCTCTATGACGTAATACAAGTAATGTACTCAGATATATTCAACATTTACACATGGTGACGTCCCCTTCTGGCAAATATAGGTTTCATTCTTTAACAAATAACTGGGTATATAAATATGAGGAGGGGTGTTTAAAATGAAGGGCTATATTAAATGTACCCACACGTGTGTGTGTGCGTGTGTGTGGGTATTCATGTTGTTGCTTTGCTGAAAGACAAAAGGCTCGGCTGCTGCACTGACTGAGCGGGTTTTTTGTGGCTTCCTGCCAAACATCCCACCATCTTTATCTCTCCTCCTCGCTGCTTCTCTTCGCCTTGTTGATGCGTTTGTAACTGCAACGTCTGTATAAGAAAAAGATTGGGGGAGGTGTTGCATGAAAATAACAGACAGAAATATTTGGTAAAGTCTGACAGCGTCATCACTTCCATTTTGGGTCGGGCTTTTTTTTTGCAAAGGCATTCAAATCTAAATGAAAGTGATAAAATACATTTACAACAGTAGCTGTTTGATACAATATTTTCTTTTTATAGTGAAGAAGTATCTTTTTATTCTAAAAAAGAGTTTCTTTGACAACGACTTTGAGGATTAAGCATTTACAAACAGATGAAAGTATTTCAAATAAGTTCCACCACATTCAAGTTTATCATTCAAGTGCTGCAGTAACACCGTAGTTACTCAATAATAATGTAATGCTCTGACAAGGGCTATTGTGTAGTACAATTAATGATTGTACTTACTTTTCAAAGAAATAGCGGTATTTTTTTGATGTACTTCTACATGTTCTTGTTTTTTTATAATGTGTTTGTAATACTACTTTGTTGTTTTCATAGTTTCTCCACCAGAAAAGGAGAAAAATAACAATTTGAGAGGAAAAAAACACTAGATGCATTGCGCTTTAAAACATCATTCTAACTGTTTAAAATGTCGTTGATATCTTTATCTCCCCATAACACGCAGTGCCGTTCAAAATCCACAGATAAGAGCCCACAATGAAAAGTAGAATGGGTGTTGTCAGAAGAATTGTGTGCAATTGTTACATTTTGCCGATGTATTTGTTTCCCTTCAGCATGCTCATTAATGTGGATTTTCCTTTTTTTTCACTGTATATGTCTTGATTTAGGTTTGACTTGACGTCCACGTGGTCGTTATTGTTTGAAAATAGATTCATGGATAATTGCTTGCATTTTGTATAACACACGATGGGATTATACAACCAGCATTCCCCCAACCGAGAAGTGGCGACTTGACTTTAAATAAAAAGAAGAAGAAGCCGCAGGCGCCGTTTCATAACTCAATTGTAAGAATTATCACGGTTACACCTTTAAATACCCCCCCCCCCCCCCCCCTATTGTTTATGTTGAGGGAATTATGATGATATTTCGTTAACCTGTGGCAAGTACACATTTTTTAAAACCATATTTTGATGGGCGGAAAGCTGAGAAGGTATCTCAATTTTTACAGTTTCCGAAAAGCTCCAATGCAGGATGTTGCATTCATCTAAAACCGAGAGCCACTGGTATGAACGCAAGGGGTAGAGGGGTTCGTCCATCCTTCGTGTTAGTGGGAGTGAGAGCTGCATATTCGGTAGATAGAGGCTCAGCTCCCATGCGTGTGGGGGGGGGATGCTCCTTGCTGCCTCGGGGAGGATCCGCATGGAGGCGCAGCTGCTGCTGTAGAGAATCTAGCAGAGTCTGGATCAGAGATAGTTAGGGCTATCGGACACATACCTCACGCCTGGACATAGCAACACACCGGAACAAGAAAAAGCCAGCGCATGCATTGTGTCCACCCCTTTCCAATCTCTCGTGGAAAGGTTTAGCAACCTTTATATGTATAAATGGCGGCCTGGGCTGAGCCACGCATATTCATGACTCGCCGAGTCCAAGGACCCAGGGGGGCCGGAAACAAGGATAATCCCTTTGGGACGCCACGAGCCATATGGACCACC